TCTTGCAGCTCTGCCTCCAACTGCTGGATCTTCTTGCTGCTGTTCTCTAAAGCCTTCTGCAGGCGCTGGTTCTCAGTATCTAGGCCCTGGTAGCTCACCTGGGAGAGGAATAGCCAGATTAGGAAATTCAAATCATCCATGAACTAGTTGTGCTTCTCCCTGAAGACAACTATATGTCAGATCCCCTGTAACAGCATTCAGTGATAATAAATTACAAAACTAAAACGGATTCTTCACATTCTTAAATAAACATCATCTTCGTTTGTGCCGAGATGGCTACTAATCTTCATTTGCACATATCTGCTTTATTTCTCAAAGACATTTATTCCCACAGTTACATCTCACTGCTCTTCAACCACATATGTACCCGCTGTATGACCTGTATTACCTCTAATCTCTCAGTCTTCTTAGACGAGGCTTTGAGCAGCTCCAGACTGCGTTTCAGTTGACTCTTCTCGCTCTCCAGCTCCCTGTTCTCGGCCTCCAGCTGAGCAGCCTTAGCCCCCGCTGAGCGGAGACTTTCAGCTGAGCGTCGAAGCTCCAGGTTCTCCTGCTCCAGTTGAGTGTTTTCTTTTTCCAAAGCCTCCAGCTGGAAGGCCATGTTTTTCAGGGTGTCCAGCTTCTTCTTCAGGCGGCGGCCTTCTACCTCCAGCTCACTATTCTCCTTCTCCAAAGAAGCCACCTAAACACACACAGGAAACAAAGATAAGAAGTAAATCATTTGGCAATACCACCAAATTCTTTTCACGTTTTCATGTTACTCCAACAATTGCTTCAAAAAAATCTGAATGTGAGTTAAGATAAGAGGATGAAAACTTGCAGACACTGTCACAAAATGCACCTGACCTTTTCACAGGTGATTCCAAGACTGGCAACTTTCTTCTGCAGGCTCTCGTTTTCCCTTTCCAACTTCTGTATCTGAATTTCCAGCTCTTCTGCTCTCTCTCCTTTCTCCTTCACAACTTCAAGCTCTTTGCCTGCAAAAATAAATTTTTAACAACAACTAGAATTTTTATCCATAACATTTTTATAGCACATGAAGACAGATGAGGGGATAAAAACAAACAAAAAAAAAAAACTACCATTACTAACTTGCTGTAATGAACCATAAAAAGTAATAAACATGTCACTTACGCAGCTGTTTCCTTTCAAACTCCATCTTATTTAGTTTGGCAGTTGTCTCACAGATCGACTCGTGGAGAACGCGGTTCTCTTTTTCCACATCCTTGACCCGGGCCTCGGCACCCACCTGGCAGCGGTGACGCAGAGACGACACGGTTTGGCTCAGGTGCTTGTTCTCCTGTTCGAGACCCTTCATCTGGAGAGCACATATCAGTTTTATTGAAGGCTAACAGGCAACTTTAAGATAAATTATTGACTTTTGGGTGAATTCTATGCTTAGTGACCATTTTTGCTACAACTAGCTTGGCTGTATGAGCCAGTGCTGGAGAAAGACTTTCATTTAGTTTCTTTTAGTCTAAACTCATTAAAATTCAATAGACATCAAGAAAGAAAACTAATGATGTGTTGAAAAAAAACACAAACTTATTAGGAGTATGCAAAACTGTTCATGTATTTTGGAACATCACATTAGCCACATCTCATTATGTTCACAGCCAAGTGCATAGACTTTGCTGCAGTAATCCCAGTGTTCTCTCTCTGCAGCTAATCAAGGCCAGATTTTACAAATCAGACACTTAAACTAATCAAAGGTGTCAGATTTAGGTCTAACGGCTGCAAAGTCCCTGCAGACGGGCAGCGAGCTAGTGCATCTGGGCAACAGAGTGCCAGAAATCTGTTCAGTCAATAAAACATTAGTGGAGTTTCCACTAAACAGTTTTTTGGAGCCAAACGCAAATCAATTACACAAAGATTCCTTTCAAGAAAACTAGAGACTTCAATAAATTACACAGCCATGTAGTAGTCGTGTCGTTTTAATGAAATTTCCAGGAATGAGAGTCAGTAACGGTTTTGTGGAGAGCACAGCATCTATGTCAGAGCCCCATTTGTATTAATGTGTCTGAGACTGTCCAACAGACTGGAATGTTAATTACATTTTAAAGGCACAAAAATATTACGCAATTGGTTTTCAGAAAAGCTGCTCTCTAAATCAGTCAGTGAAGTATCATTCTTGAAAAGAGGCGCAAGGGGAGAGATTTAAATCAAAGTCAGGGCAAACTTTCCAAAGCTAATTAGCTTTTTACCAAAAACTTTCCACTCCAGGTTATTATTTTTTAGAAAAATATATTTTTAGATATTTTAGGCACATTCACAACTGAGTAGGATGTGACCACTCCAAAATATATTTGGATTACTGACTTCTAAAAATTGTGCATCTTATTTTTTACTGATGACGTGTCATTTCCTGTAAGCGTGTGCGTACCTGTCTCTCTGAGTTTTCTCTGAGGGTTTCCAGAGTCTTCTCCAGCAAAGCCTTCTCCTTCATCAGGTCAGTACTGAGAGATTCGGCACTGCGGAGCGACTCTCTGTCTGCTGTCAGTTCGCTCTCCAACGACTCCAACTGCAAACAATAATTAAAGCAAGTTTGCGATTTTTGTTCTTGGGAGTTTTTCTTATTCCGTTACAGAATAAGAAAAAGATGCACACGAGATGGTCTTGCAGCATCAATTGTGAGGACGACATATCATAGTCACAAAGATGGCAATGCAGTTATTAATCCATAACAAATGCTGAATACATCACCTCATTCTGTCACTAATCTGCAGAGAGACACATAGAAGCAGCTGTTCACACATTAAAAGTAAATATTACTGTGGCTCGACTCTTCCAGCAGCTGCATTCACATTTTAATGTGCTCTGGCTCCTCAAGTCACTCAGAAATCTAACTCTGAATTTTCTCTTTGTGAGAGACGAACACAATTTCATGCCTTTTATTCAACGGCCACAGAAAAAAGGCTTATGTTTCTGAAAATAGCTGAGAGACTTCTCTTAGCAAGGGGCACTGGTGTGTCAAACACTGGAAAAGAAAAGGCAATGCAGGGCTCCCTGGATTTATAGGTTTGCTTTCAACCTCCCATCCACCCCTTTCTATACCCTCTCTCCTCCTTTCTGTCCATTTCCTACTGAGGGAAAAGGTCTAGAGTCAAGTACCAGGATGATATATTTTAGAGGAACTTGGTGCAATATGCTAATCTGATAAAGGACATAAATTTTAGCCTCAAAAAACAGACGTAGAGCTGCAAATCTATACTAGAACACACACAGAATACCCACTTTATTTGGGGTACAAGCAGACATTTCTCCTTCAAATAACATAACCGGAAGCATAGTTGTCTGTGTAACTTTATTGAGCCATTCGACAAATATCAGATATGTTTAATCCAAACAGAAAACAGGAATTTACTTTCAGCTAGTTCCCAGAGAGAACAATAATAAAATATGACGTCAATTCTTACTTTCTTGCTCAGCTTCTGGTTTTCCTGGTTAGCTTTGACCAGTTTTGTCACAGTGTCCTGACTGGCCGCTGCTCTGAGTTCCTCAACCGTCTTCAGCAGGGTCTGGTTGTCTTTCTCCAGCTTTAGCAGACGGCTTGACGTTAGCTCATTCACCTCCTCCCCCAGAGACTTCTGAGGGGCTGAAAAAGATGGATTACAAATAGCAAATGTTAACAACTAAATCCAAAGAATTCTGTTTTGATTTTTGATTAGTTCGTTACCAGGCCTCTGGAGAACTTCAGGACATGTTGAGGAGCTAATTTAGCCATTTAAATCAGCTGTGTTGGTTTGAGGACATCTAAAACCTGCAGGGACACCAGCCCTCGTGGACTGAGATTGCCCACCCCTGCACTATGGTATAACTTTACAGCTCTTAAAGCCTTTAAAGTGCCATTTTAACAAACAAACTCCCACACAAAGTCTTTATCCAGATCCCTGGCTTGTTAAACCTCTTAACCACTCTTATAATCCAAACGCTGATCTTTCAGGAGCGCTTGAATATTACTTACAGGTCTTAACCAAGTGGAAAGAAAACCCAGTGGAAGCTGGCAAATACATAAGGACCATAGAGAAGACGCCAGGATTAAGAGCCAATGACCACAGTCTGATCTGTCAGGCCATCTGAACCCTTAATCTTGGTGAACTCAGGTGACTGTCAGCAGCATTTTAACTCAACATGCTATTTTTCGACTTTTCAACATTGTAGCTCTCCTCTAACCTTCTGTTAGCTCTGGTGTCTTTGATAATTGTTCCAGCTCCCATCCAAGGTGCAGGGATTCATCCATGCTCTGTTTCTGGGCCATCTCGAGCACAAGGTTCTCCTCTAACAGCTCCTCCATTCGCTTACGGTCCATGTCCCGCTCCTGGGTGATTGGGGATATAACAAAAGTTTTCATCACTATTTGTACTTTCCAAATAGCACCGATACTGAAACACTGAATTGAAAAAATGTATCATCATACCATCTCCAGGTCGTGGATCTTTGATTTGATCTGTAGATTCTCCTTCTCCAGGAGATGTAATTTGTCGGACCGGGTCCTGCTAGCATCCAGCTGCTCCTCCAGCATCGTCTTAGTCTCCAGCAGAATCTGGTTGTCCTCCTTCAGCTCCTACAGAAAAGTCAGCAGGTAATAAAAGGTGAACAACAAAACTGCAACTTGGACATGTTGTGCTCTCTTTAAACAAAAGCTTAGATTTAAATTGATATATTGCATAGACTGGGCGAACACAGTTTTATATATGCATGAGTCTTTATATGTGAACGGCACAAAATATTCATCTAGAAAAGTGTTTTCTGTTAGATTTATAGTTTTTATTCAAGAGAGCACTAACAATAGTTCAATTTCTAATTCAAACATCAATATTTATTTTTTAAAAACTAGCAGTTTGCAGTGAACACAGATATTGCAGTATAGATAATAAGATGGGTCTCATACTGGTTGCATAATATCACAACACTGCCAACATAAACTAGAGTTATTAATATTTGGCTACGAGATCCTGTTTGATCTGTATGTGCAGCCCTGTACCTCAACTCTGGCCTTGTAAAACTCGATGTCATGAAGTCTCTCCTTGTATCGGCTCAGCTCGCTCTCCAGCTTGTCCACACGTATCGCTTTCTCTCGGAGCGAATCCAGCTCGTCACGATAGGCCCGAGCCGACCGAGCATCTGAGAGCAGCTGAAAGCTCTGAGGGAGTTGGCAAACAAATGCACAGCATGATTATGTGGATTCATGAAACAAAGAGCAACTGACAAAGAATTTCATGGAAAAAGATGCAAACAACCAAAACATGCATTAAAGGAAAAAAAACAACAACACTCAGTGAATCTGGAATCTTGTAAAAATATAAGCTATTAGCAACTTTAGCAAGTTTGTTCTGCTACATAAACAGATCAGGCCAGAATGAACTCGCCACACAAACACATCTGGAACCACAAGAATTATCCTCATGCACCTTGTTTACTGCAGTTCACCAGTCAGCCTGTCGCCCACTCCCTATCAAAAGCCATGTGAGGCTGCTGCTTCACTAAAGATAGCTCTAATAGCCTGTAATGAGCTAAGTCACCTGCTGACTGATTAAATCCTGGCAGAGCTGCACAAACAGAGGACTTAGAGGCACAAGGAGCAGGTGAAGGGGACACGTAGTCACATGAATGTTTGTGTGTTATGTGTGCATGTAAGTGCACAAGCATGGACGTCAGTGGAGACGTTACCTCTTGCTGAAGTCTCTTGAGCTCGACCTCCATGTTCTCAAGCTCCTGCCTGGTGTCCAACAGCTGCTCACTCTTCTCCTCTCTGCAAACAAAGGAGAAAGGTTAGAAACATTAAGCTTTACACTGAAAAATCCCATGCCAAAGGATTTTTGTACTTTTATTTTTAGTGTGGATTCCTATGTATATCAGTTCTCGGGATGCACAAGAACATTCCCTTAGGGCTATTTCGACTTCAAAGCTTTCAGCTACAGTAAATCATTTACGAGTGGAGCACAGAAATGAATATATGAACAAAATAAATGATCAGAAAAGTAGTTTCAGTAGGTAGACAGAATGTCAAGCTTCTTTTATATCGGGGCCACATGCAGCCTAATTTGATCTTAAGTGGGTTGGATCAGTAAAACTCCCTCTGTGTCAGTGTAAAGAAGTTTAACTACACATGTAATACCTGAAACACCTAAGTTAATACAACACTAAGTTCCAGTTTTTCTACATGATAAAGAAATGCTGCTGTAGTGAATGAAAGAAAGCATGACTTTACACATAAAGTTCTAGAAGCTATTTGCCCATACTGTCGTGTAATTATTAAAACAGGAAGTTTGTTAATTCACAGAAAAGGTTTAACCCCAAAAAATGTTTTTGGTGTCCTATGAAGGGCCATGGGGGAGCTCTTCATCAGTAGGAAAAGTCGTAAAATAATATGAAAATACAGTTAAAAGTCCAAAATTTGTGCCCCGTTTTAATTTTCAACGCTGCCTATCGGACTGCAGCCTTTGCTGGGCCGATCTTGGATTGTGTTTGATACCCTTTAGTCTATGTAATTTGAGAAGCTTCAAGAAGTTATAAGTATTCAGCAACAGGCAGCAGGAATGTAAACCGAGTTTCAGCACTTAAAACCACCGTCAGCTACTTGAAGGCCCCGATCTGTTTCACGTGCTAGTTATGCTCAAAATTCCAGCTTTGATTGTTTTTGTCTGAGAAGCTTATTTGCAATCAGCAGTTACATAGTCTTTAAAAAAATATAATACAAATCTTTTGATGCTATTAAATCTTTGTGTGACATGTGTCATAGTGAGTAATATGAATCAGTTAGGTATTCAGTCCAATGTATGACTGTGCCACATTTTAGGAAATTCCTCCCAGGCATTCTTGTAACGTCGTGTCCACGAGAAAGGGAAGAATAACCCAAAATTAGGTTTTCAGTTGTGCCGTTACTGGGACAGAGGCATAAAAATATCCTATTGTGCCCGGTGTGTATGACCTGTAGCTGTCAGGAGCGTCTTTCCTGCGTCTTGCCCTAAATTTGGCGAGTAATAAACAAACCGATTCTGCTTGACAGCACATTTTGAATAACAGCCAAAGGAAAACAGTCACAGATAAATAAAAAACAGAGTTCAAGAGATTGCATGTCAATCTTTCCCTGAGACTAAAACCCCTTTTTTTGGCTGGAGCCAAAAAATAAAAAGAGTGACATAAAAGCTGGGATGGAAACTACAGAATTCAATTCATTACTCTTTTTTCGCATCAACAGTTGGGTCGATCTACTATCCAAGACTGTTCTGTAACATTTATTTCGATGACAGTAAGTAGGGCAGCCTGACATTTGCTGTCTGTGTTGCAAATTCTCCCAGCTCCTTCCACAGAGGGTAGCTTTGAAGGAAAGTAACTGCATTCCTGAGATGCTGCTCTCTGTGTGCATGTGTTTGCATGAATCCGCTCCACTGAACATTTGATGGACTATTTGATTACTGCTCTCTGGAGTCTCTGTCCATCTGAATAATAAAAGGCATCCTTTAATTCAGGCATTCTCCTTCACCTTCTTTCTTCCAAGGTTCACGTTATTTAAGATGCTAGAAAATACTCAAGCAAATATGTTCTTTAACCCATTTCTGTTTTCATTTCATCGATTAACTCCCTGCCAAAAATCAAACACCTGTCAACACCACCCACGGAGATAGTTTTGGACTCTCATTGTGAATGCATCGCAGTCTGGTGCTTATTTGACTGGTTTAACACGCCATGCATGCACAGACAAACAGTTGTATTAGTTGCCATATTCAAGAAGCCAAGAAACAAAGAAACCTTTATTTCTTAGTCTAACAAATATCTAAATGTCCTCCATCTGTTAGTCTGGTGTTATTTTCATAGCTTTAATTCTTTGTCATATAAAAAAAGTATACTCTTGTCTAAGAACAAACAAAAGATAAAGATCAATAAAAATACAGCTTTAAAATTAAAAGTTAGGACACCAAATATGGTTATGTTGAAAGATTTGTTGTGCTTTTCAATCAATCTATATCAATTAGATCTCAAAACGTAACAAAATATTACTTTTTACTTTTCAATATTTCTATCTATATGATTCTAGAAGAGTCCAAATTTATATATCTATGCGAAGCTGTAATACCTCTATATTAAAACTAATAAGCTTTTGGGGGCAGATAAGTGGAAATAGCACAAAAAATGAACAAAAACAGACCACTGTGACCACTGTGGAAACAGTGAAACATACCCCCCAGCTCTGACCTGGTCTCCTTCAGACACAAAAAGCAGACACACACACACACTTATATGGAGAGACACTGTCTGTGCATGTGCCTGCATCCAGAGACACAACAAACAATCTTCCTCTCCCTTAAAGACGGCACAGTAATCATGTGACCAGACTACATCAGAATGGACAGACGGACCTTTTTGTTCCTTGTCACAGCTCATCACATGACAATAACCTTTCTATCACAGACACAGCAGCACTATAGCAACACTATAGCAACCAACAAACAAAATAAATCTTGCTCTTGTTGTATTGTGCCCCTGTTTAAGTTATAAATGTGGGTCAAGGAAGGAAAGATAAGCGAAACGCCTACAGTGATTGATGGCGACCCATTCCAGCACAAGAACTAAGACAAATTAGTTTAAGATCATTCAAGGTGAGATGTTTTTAATGTGACAAGGAAGTGGCTGATCTGCACCTCAATCTAAGATGCAATCAATTGTTGAAGAACCATAATTTAGTCCTTTAGTTAGGCCTCATACAAACATTTCGTTTAAACAAAGGAAACAAAACAATGCATCCTTCAACAAACAGGAATCTACCCTTTTGACTAATCAACAACCTGTTTAAACTGGAGTGAGTCGACAGTTAAAACTGAGAATAAGTCTAATCCATGACGTAGCACAATAGCAATAATGCCTTATAAGAGACCAAAACCCTTTAGAAGTGATAGCCTACATTATACATTAACAAAATGTGAATATTATATAATGTGAGCAGAACTCACATCCCAGATCTAAATCCTTAAAATTATTATTTGGTAAAATAAATATATTTAACATTTCAATAAGAACACGGACAGCAGCTCACACTGCATGAACAAGCCTGCAATGTTTGTCATTTGTTATGGAGTTCTATCCATGTAAATTAAGCTTTAGCTGGTAGGTAGTTGGACTTCTCTTTTTCTATAAATTTAAGAAGTGCTCAAGACTTTTTCTGACTCAAAATGGGTCTTTGTGTAATAGATGGCTGTCATTTCTCTCAATTTGATAAAGAAAACGAGGGTACGCTTGACTAAATGAAACATACATGAACAAAACTACTTGAGTCCTGGTGATTTTCCCCCCAAGTTAACCTCTTTGCAATGAGCTAACATTTTTGTCAACACGGGGCTTGCACTCATTTAAATGCTGTTATGGTGACAGATTCACTTCTATCCAGCAAATTAGATCCACTCAAGTGTGTAAACAATTTCCTTGACAATTTCCTATGTCAGGACTAATAACAGCCTATCACAGGAATCAATTCATGATTATTTCAGCTGGAACAGAAAACATGAAAATCAACCAAAACAGTTCCTGCAAAGTCATTAAACAACAACACCAACTTCAAGGCACCAGCCAGTCTGTTAGGACAGGTACAAGCTAAGTTCATTCGTGCAACACTAAAATACTTCCACTTGAAGTGAAAAGTTTTCTCTTCTAACTGATCCATGTCAGCCATTAAGCCTTTGTCTGCTAGAAAATTACAGCACTTTAAAAAGGAAACTCTATTATTCATAAACCACATTTGAAAGGCCTCTAAGGTTTCTGAGAATGACTTCACTTTTTCTTCTTTTGTGTGTGGCTCATAACAACAACGAAAGCTCATTCAACTAATAAGTGGGCCGAGTGGAAATGGACTCTTTGGATAAATATCCAGTTAGACTGTATCCTTTTCTCACAATGAAGGTGATTGCTGATCACGAAGAATCTGATCAAGTTCAAATACTGATCCTGATGACCGTGCAACATTTTATCTGCCCAGTTCAGATCACATTTGTGATACTTGCAACAGTAGGAAACAAAATTGGCACCCACAGAGATCTATTTACAGTTCTAGCTTCTTTTTTCTGTTCCCTATGCTTAATTTAGATAATTATTGAAAAAGCTGATATGGCGGTTGCACTCACAGTTCCTGCCGAAGGCGTCTTATCTTGGCCTTGGCATCAGCCAACTCCACAGAGAGGTGCTGTCGGCTCTCAGTCCTCCTCATACTGGGAGAGTCACCGGGCGACTGGGTTGAACAGGGAGCCAGTGGAGAGAGCTGCACACAGTCTCTCTCCTGGGTAAGCTCTACTATAGTCTGGATGGGAGCAGAAAATAGAAGAAGGTGAGGTGTTGTGTAAATGCTAAGAGGGAAAAATAAAGAGGAGATTCACTGATTCAACGGAAGGACTCCCACCACCCAAAAACTAGAACAGAATAAAAAGTGCACACAGTCCCACATACAGCCCATTTTGATCTACTGCCCCCGACAGGAAATGGAATTTTAATTGAAAGCGGCTGGACTACAGTGATAATCTGGAGGCTATTAGAATCCCCCTGAAACACTTAATAACACACACACACAAATCAGCTGTATCTGTCATTGGGATCTGCACCCCATGGGTTGGAAACTCAATGACGCACGAAGTCAACGTCAAACACACACACACACGCATCCATGCGACAGTTAACAGTTTCAACCCTTCCTTCCTGAGGTTTCTCTTGTGTGGTAACATGAAAAAAGGAAAAATTTCCACATAACCCTGTTCGAAAGTGACCTAAAGATTTTCATCAGCAAATCTCCCCCAACAACAGAGAGAATTTCAATTCATTAAATTTTCTACACTTCCTTGTTCTTTGGTCTGCATTGTTTATGTACTTTGTCATTTTGCTAATAAGCCTCAATAAGTGTATATGCACACACATATACAGTATGTCATTACCTCAAGCTGTGTGTCCCTTTCATCCACCAGGCGCTTGAGGTGGAAAGCCAGGTTTCTGGAGAGGCTGTCCAGATCCTCTGGAGGTATTTCCCCACTTTCCAACCACTGCAGGTCCACTACATTTTCTTGGTTATGAGTCACCTAAAATTACCATCATATTGTCAATAAAGCTTTAGCGAATAGTGAATGTAACAGTGAACACCAGCTGAAAGGTTTAGCAAGGCTTATAACATTTTCTCTTTTGTGTTTGCTGTGGAGGAGAAATACCTCTTGGATATGTGATGCTATGGCAGCTTTGGTGTCAAAGTCCAGAGTCTGGATACGCTCAATGTACTCTTCCTTTTTCTCACACTGTAAACAGAGAGAGGAGGATGCAGGAGCAAAAGTTAAATCTCTAAATCTTCAATGAGAGAAGAAGAGCACGATATTTGAGATGTGACATAGTCGATAAGTTTAATTGGGGGTCCAGAGGAGGTTAGCAGGCCAACAATGTAAACATGAGCTGCATTTATTTACTAAGTGTATTCTTATACATCAGAAAGATGATAAGAGCAAAAACAGCTGAGACAGGCTCTTGAACTGAATAAGAAGATGGAAAAATTTATTTTTTTATTTTTAATGAATAATTCTGATTAGTAGCTAGGCATCTGTGTGTTTTAATGCAGCCTTGTGGTAGGCACATTATCAAGTCAGAGTTAAGTGCATGAACACAGGTGAAGCTTCATTTGAATAAAACAATGGAGTTGGTGGAAGGTCAGTGGCTTTATCTGACGTGCAGTGAGTAAGAGCTGAATGCAGGCTTTGTCATAAGACAGGAAAAAGGTCTGCATTGTCATTCATTACACAGCGTTAGTTGTATCAGAGTTAAAGCTGGCAGTAAATCAAGGAAGACTGGACTAAACAGACTTAAACTCTTCCAAATGTATTTTTGGATTGAGAATTAAATTGTAAAAGTATAACCACTAAAAATGACACAAATAACAATGATATCTATTTGACCTCCTCATGAAATATCATCTTAAGTTGATAGTCGTCTGTTATGAACCTTCTTAGTTCATACTTTCATAGCAGCATGAAACGTGTATCAAATGCACTTATGTGGAGCGTTTAGATCGACTACACTGAGCTCTTACCTGGACAGCACAGCCTAGTAGCAACAGCAACAGTTTCTTCATCTCTTCCAGACCTTGTGCTGAAGGAAGACATAGGACACAGCAGGGGAATAACTTTAAATATGTCTGCATAAAAACCCAAACAACATTCCTGTGGAAATCAAAGATCATTTGTTATGTGTGACTTGTTACTCCCTTTATTTGTCTGGTTTTGTGTTCAGTTTTTGTGGTTTATTAAGGAGTAAAAACACAGAGGTTCGTTAATTAGTGCTACTGATTGATGTTTTGTTGATAGCAGTGGAAGCATTTTCCACAGCCTCTTCACCACAACAAGCTCAGATCGATTGCATGATGTAGGTCAGTAACTAATTCATAATCAAGCTTTACAAACTGATTTTTTTTTCAATTACTAATAAATTTATCTTAAGTTTGTGTGTGCTTTGGAAACAGGGCTTCACACGACCTGTAAAAATCAAGATGCAGTAGGTTCAGATTAAAACATCAGCTTCACCTTATTTTAAGACAGGAATAAAATCATTCCCACATTTACTTCCAATAAGCCTAAATTCTTGGGTTGTTCCCGTTTCCCCTTATAAAACCTTTCCTCAGATACAGTGACACGATGTTTTCCACAGCGCAGTAGGCTGGCAGGGTGAACACCCAGTACTTCCACATGTCAGGACATATTGTCAGAAACTGCTGAAACCCACAAACAGCTGCTTGCCTGCTCAACAGGCCTGAGCTCATCTGTATGATTTGGGACTGAACAACAGCAAACCAGGTGGTGCATGTTTGTGTGTGTGTGTGTCATACACTGACTAAGTGGTATAGTTAATGCTAGTTAAGGGCATCTGTGTCTCTCTGTACTAAAACTGTGTTTCCCCAGTTGATAACCAGAGTGTGTGTGATAAGCCAGCTCATCCTGCGGCCCAGGGGGGCTAGCAAGGGCTAACAATGTCCTGCTAAAACGATCATAAATCCAGATTAGTGACAGCATGTTCGCGATGTAGGGTGGTCTGTTTTATGGGCCAATCATCACAGCTAAACAGCAGGCGTACACAAGGACAATTTTCATTGACAACTTTAATCTTCGTGGGACTTTCCAAATGACAAAAAAAGAGAGATTATAATGAGATGAATGAGTGATGAAAGTACTTTTCATGAAGGACTGAAAAGTACATGTTGGAGTGGGTTTTTTTTGGGGGGGGGGGGGGGGGCCAAAAAAAAAAAAAGCTGTGGAAAGCAACAACTTAAGGGCATTTCACATACAGTGTGTATACAAACGGCACCTCTGAAATCCATACATTCACACAACCTGTAGAAATGCAGACTGGCAGGAAGCGAGCGCATAACATACACATAAAACCATAAGTGGCAAAAAATGACATGGTACAGAGAGAGAACAAAGGACAGAGGACAGTGGTCAGCGTTTGCTCGGCCTAGCAGTCAGCACAGCACATGCTGCTTTCTATGTGAAAGAGCTTTTTAAAGCAACAAACACTGTTGTCGCTCCAGGATGGCAAAAC